TAAATTCAAATCAATAATTTAAAATCTATTGTTCTTTAATAATTAGATCAATTAATTAGCAACACTAATGATTGGATATAAAATTTAAAATAAACAGGATCTCAATACTCAGAATATAGTTTCTTCAAAGAATTAGATATAATAATAAATTAATAAAATAATAAAGATGATTTGATTAAATGTTAAAATCAAATTAAAATACTTAATCAAAGTTGGATTACAAAAGTCAATTCTAAATTAGAACAATTCAAATCATTTCAATATTATCAATAATTAAAGGAGATATTGAACTAATTAATTAAATAAAATCAACAATTAAGTCCAAATCAATTATTATTTATTGATGATACAAATGAATAAAAAGAAATTTGTAATGAAATTGTATTTGATTCAACAGGAAAGATTATGGTTTCAACTTGTGAAAACAAAATTATAATTTGGAATTTCAATAATGGGAAGATTGAAAAAGTTCAAATGCTTTCAGAATATTAAAAAGTTATTAATTGTTTAGTATATAGTAAAATTAAAAATTATTTTATTTCTGGATCACAAGATGGATCAATTATATTATGGAAATAGTTGGATTATAATCAATGGTAAAGTTCTAAACCATAAAATGAGCATAAGAAAGGTATCTATTGTGTAATCTTAACATAAAATGAAGATTAATTAATTTCAGGTAGTTAAGATTCCTTTATTAATATATGGAGAATAGATTTTATTAATAATCAATTAACATTTCTCTATTCTTTATAAAAACATACTGATTAAGTCATCTCATTAAGTTTAAATGAATCAGAAAGATTATTAGTTACATGTGGATTAGACAAATCAATAATAATTTGGTAAAAAGATGCAAATAATAGATGGTATTTATATTAATTTGTTAAATAATCAAAATTAGATATAGGAAGTCATGTTAAATTTATATAAGAAGATAAATTCATATAGGTATCTTATTCAGCCAATAGTTTATGTGTATTTGAACAAAAAGATGGTTAATTTCAAGAAATAGTAGAGAAGAAAGTTTAATTTAGTAATTTTATTCAAAAATGTTTAAATTTACCATTTTTCCCAATTATTTACATAAAGGATAAAAATTTGATATGCTTAAGACATATGAAACATATTGTGTTACTCAAAGAACAAATTGATGGATAATTATCAATTGTTTAGGAATTAGATTGCCAAGATTGGAGCATACATGGAACAGTTACAAAAAATGGATAATATTTAATATTTTGGGGAGGAAAGAAGAAGAAATATGAGATATTTGAAATATAATATAAATGAAATAAATTAGTTATTATAAGTATAAGGAATCATTATTTTATTTAAAATTATGATATTATTTTATTTCCTTTAGAACTATAGGTATATAAGATTAAAGATTCTTAAAATGATTTTAGGAAATAATAAATTTAAAATATTTAAAAATATATAATAAATTAGCTCAAATTTTTATAACAATAAAAAAGATATATTGTAAGTAATTGAAATATAAAATAGTTTATGGTATTTTTATCAAATAATTGAAAATAAATATCAAATATTTTAGATCTCAGTAGATTAGTTTTACATATGAAAAGTCATAGGCATACAAAATAGAAAAGAAGATACTAAATCTTATGAATAACACTTAAAATTAATCAATATTAGTTTAAATACATATTTTTATAACTATGAAGATTAAGTAACATTGAATTAGTTGTAGGATAATTAAAATAAATGTAATAATGTCATTCAATTTAAAGGGCTTTTAATATTATTTTAAAATAATCTTTAAAATTATTCTACTTTAAAGGATGGTATATTTAAAACATATATAATCTAAAATAAATAGTTGTATGAGATAGTCAGATAATTAAATTAAATCAAAATATCATGAAGATCCTTTGAATAACTTAAAAACAAATTTTTAGTTTAGATTTTATAACCTTTATGCTTCTAAGAATTAACTCAAAACCTAATCTAGCTTTGTTAAATTTCTTTTATTAGTATTGGATTTAAACTCAATTTTATTTAAATTTATATAAAACCTAGAATTTATCATTAAAGTAAATATATTTATCA